ACACATAAATCTCGGATTTAAATCCGAGTTTTCCACATTTATTTTTTATTAAAGCTGATTTCATCATAATGTCTGTAACGTCAACAAAAGCTTATACAACATTTCTTACAAAACTTTGTTCAATACAAATCTGTTTCTACAGAAATTCAAATGCAAAATAATATTCCCGATTACGTTACACTTGTATAGTAAGATGTATATAGATGATCAATGCCTTTTCTTTCATTCAAGAAGAAGATATTCGCATACGTTGATGTAAGATTATCAGCTCGTCAAAGTACTGATCTAATCCTTAGCAATATGTATATGAACTTGAATCTTTTAATTCATAACTTACATTATCAGTAAAGATAACACCCTATTTTCAAATTTGATAACGCATATCAATAGATTTAATTCTAAATTAATAAAGTACAACTCTTAATCAATCTTTTTTTTTTGGTTTTATATACTTTGCCCATAAACTAGTTTCAATTGGTTTAACAATTTCAAATTTTTCTGGTGTATCATTTCTTTTTCCATACCTAAAAATCGACTTAATTCATCATAATCAAATTGATCGGAATATTTATTTCGAAATTCTTTTTTAACAAATTTATCCCAATAAGAATCAGGAAATGCTTTTGAACTTATAACAAGTTTATGCCATTCACGTGATAAATATGATAATATTCATGAATTATTTTCACTTGGTTGATCAATTAACCAAGCACCTTCAAATTCTAATTTTCGAGCTATTTCTTTTTCTCGTTTAAATATAACAGATGGAACCTAGAAAAACAAACAACACATTATTTTAAAAATAGAAAAATAATTAAATTTTTATTTTCTACTTTTAATTTATAATAACCAATCATCATTAAAAATGCAATTGATGAATGTAAAAATGCAGTTGCTCATAATAAATAAATAATATAATATTTTTTTGGATTCATTATTATTATTTCATTGTCATTGTTATCTTCATCAATTTGTTCTATTTCATCAGAAAAACTTGATTCACTAACTACTGTAGTTAATTGTATTGCCTAAAACAGTTTACACATATAATTTCATCAATTAACGAAAAAAAACAAAATTTTACCTTATAAAATAACATAAGAAAATTAATTATAAAAGCAAGACAAAGAGTCATAAATTTCAATGTATGATAATTTCTTGTCATCAATGCCTATTTTTAAAATAATTATTTCAATTAAAGTTGTCAACAAAATTATCATATAAAAAAAAAAAAAATGATCAAAGAAGAATATTTCAGATTTTTTCAACACTCACTATCAATGCGAGATATTGTCGAAATATCGGAATCGACAAACGCTGATCCCATGTGATTCGCACCGAACAAAAACCATCGATAAACTGTTTGATATAATGTGTGCTTTACTAGCGATAGTGCGAGCAAACATAAAATATATTCCTTACAAATGTCGAGCTTCAAAAAAAAAAATGATCATTCATCTTTTACGTAGTATCAAATCAGAGTTGACATCAGTCAGGAAAAAGATGCCACAATATCGTTGACCTACATTCTTAGTGAACTGCATATACATAAATCTTTAGTACATTCAGTGGTCAAGACTTTCGTTCATCTTTGTATATGACGAAAAATAAAGAATCATTTATCCATTAACTGATTGCTAAATTTTAAATCTTGAATTTTCTCATTCAGCATTTTCAGACAAATCTAACGTTTCCTTTCGAACGACAATCCAAACATAAATTTGATTACAATATAAGTTTAGCTCAAGAAACACAGTTTTGATTGTGCTGTTCAAAAAAAAAAAAGAATGAAACCGTGTGGATGAAACACTGTTTGACTATTTTGATAATAAAAAATCAAAACTATTCTCAACAAGTTTCATCAGAGAAAAATGATGTATATATATATAAAATATTTTCCAATTGATAAAGATCGACCAATTACATTTCTGTATTAAACTCGTAGCCGTAGTCAGTTATTATTTAAATGTATAAATTCTTGATACATGATTTAGATAAACAAGTTATTTTAAAGATATTTAGAATATATTAAAAGGAATCTTGAACACTCGTTCACTGTGCAGGCTTTTACAAGAACTTTGAATAAAATAAATTCATTTCTTATATGAGAACGATCATCATCGTCATCATAAACTAATGTCAACGTCAAAATATAAGGCAGGTGATCATTTTTTCAATAACTTTTCATAGAGACCTGCAATTTTCATCATTGGAAAGCAAAAAATATTCTGCATAAAAATGACTCAACATTTCATTGGTCACCAATTAACTATTCTCTTTCGATCTGCACAAGGCCAAGCTCTCTAGCTTGTTTTATTCATGAGTTATAAACATTTTCTCGAGACAATCCAAATCGGCAGGTAATCGATCACGTTGAGCCGAGAGATAACATTTGTTTTTCTTGTAGAAGCTATCTGAAGTTGCTATACCAGTTTTTTTGATATTATCATTTCATAACAAGGAAAGCGCAAAAATATTGGCATGCTAGTGTAGTAACTGTAGATAGCTTCTAAAACAAAAACATATATTACCTCTCGACTTAGCGTGGTTGATTACCCACCGATTTCGGTCATCTCGGAAAAATGTTTATAACTCATGAATGAAACAAGTTAGAGAACTCGTCCTTGTCTAGATCGAAAGAGAACAGCTGATTGGTCACTAATGAGATGTTGAGTCATTTTTATGCAGAATATTTTAGCTCTTTCCAATGATGAAAATCGCAGATCTCTATTAAAATTTATTGAAAAAAATGGTCACTTACCTTATATTTTGGTGTCGATAATAATAATTCATTTAATTGTTACAATACTTCTCAAAATGATCTTACAACAAAAAGCAATAATGTCAGTGAATATGTCTTGTAATCCGGAAGATAAAAATCCGGAAAACAAAAAAT